TGGCGATACTACTGGTGATATCGATATAGATGGTAATATGTTTGAACAGGTAGATAAGTTTAGGTATCTAGGTTCTACGATAACTAGAAAAAACGAAATTGAAGAAGAATTAAGGTTAGACTGAAGGCGGGAAATGCTTGTTATTTTTCTGTGACAAAACTACTTAGTTCGCGCCTCTTGTCCCGAAACTTAAAAATTAGAATCTATAAAACAATTATCTTGCCTACAGTTCTTTATGGATGCGAAACTTGGCCGCTTACATTAAGGGATGAGCAGCGTCTTAAGGTTTTTGAAAATAAATTATTGTGTAGAATATTCGGACCGTAGAAGGATGAGTTAACCTGAGAGTTCAGACGGTTACACAACGCCGAATTGCGTGAACTGTATTGAAGTAATATAATTGAGATAATTTCATCGCGGCGAATCAAATGGACTTGTAAAGTTGTTGGACTTAGTAACGAGAGAATTACTAAAAGGTTAATATTTGCTGTGCCGAATGGTAAGCGTCCGAGGGGTAGACCAAAGCGAAGGTAGGAAGATTGCATTAAAGCCGATCTGAAGGGACTGGGTTTGGACGGCGAACGGTGGAGGGAGGTGTGTAATAAGCGATTGGTGGTGTCGGCATCAAACCTTCAGGTTTGCTAAGCCTTTCTATTATTAATTTTAAAGGATAAGAAATAAGATCATTCGTAAACTTTTACCAAATCGAAATTGTAAGCACTCTAAGACACATTGGATTGGTGCAGAAGAGATCCTTGATTTCCAATTTCTCTTTGTTGCTGTTATTTAGGGCTTAGAGTAGTGTTTCCAAAAATCGGTCTTGGTCTTGCACTTTGCAAGGCCAAGACCAAGGCCACCTAACTGTTGCAAGACCAAGACCAGGACTGGTAAAAAAAATCGATGTTTTTAATAAAAAATTAAGGCAAAATAGTTACTAATTTCGAAATAAAAATAGTTACTCGACAATGTTAGTTACTATATGTAAATAATTGGTATAACCAATATAGTTTTGCATTGAATTCCTCTAATTTTTCATTCAGGCTTAGTTAGGTTTCTCCTATCTACAAAATACAGTTCTGTAAGACTGTTGTGCAAGACCAAGACCATGACCAAACTGAGTTTGCAAGACCAAGACCATGACCAAACTGAGTTTGCAAGACCAGGACCATGACCAAACTGAGTTTGCAAGACCAAGACTCGTCTGGGTCTCGCATTTGGGCAACACTAGCTTAGAGACGTGAAACCCCGCCAACACCTATCTAATCTTTATTTCAATTATCTCAATACTAAATTATTTTTGGAAAACAAATTAATCAATGCATAAAAAGCACCTTTAATGTAAATCAAGTCATGAAGAAAATTTAACTCCGAGCTGACTTTAACTTTATCGTTATTTAAAAAATCTGGTGGTTTTGGCTTGAGTTCTAATTTGAACTCCTATGGGAGATAGGGAGAGAGGAATTGGAGAAAAGAGGAGTTCTTTAACTTCAGCAGTGTGGGTGGGATGGAGTTCGGTGTGGGGAGTGAATGTTTTGGATAGACGTTTGGCAAATTCTTCAGCTCTAGTCTCATCTGACGAAGCCCAGGTTCCATCATCTCGTCGGAGTGGGTGGGAAATAGATTGGTATTTAAGGATTTTCTTTGTCACTTTCCAGAGGGAGTTGTCATCGGTAGAGAGGAAAGAAAGGTAGGAATTGTAGGATTGGGATCTATAGGTCGTCAGTTCTTTTTTAACCTGTTTGGAATAGTAATTATATAATTTCCGATCATCAGGATGCCTGGTTCTTTGCCAGAGGGTCCTAGATTGGCGTTTGGATTTAATAAGGTCAGTAAGGTTTTGGGGCAAGGGATTCTTTCTGAGGGATTTTTCGGAGGGGAGTGGTGAGGAGGCATTGGCTGGGAGTTCTAATTTGGCTAAAATTGATACGTAATAGGGAAACTCTTGAAAAATGTGGCTGACTGTGAGTGTACGTTAGCACGGTTGGCATTTTGGTGTTGGCTGTTTACTTCTAACTTAAGAATGTGTTAGGTTTGTATGACCTATCCTTAATTTACTTAAGGCAACTTCCTCTCTAAGAATATGGTGGTTTTAGGTGGACCATGATTACACTGATTTTTTTTATTTATTTCAATTTACTCGGAGGCCTATCGTTCCAGATGGATTGACTGATAAAAGCTATTCCTTTTCGAGAGGAAGACTTGTGTCACGTGGTGTTAAAATAGCTGCGCCCCGGCCTGGAAGGGTAAGTGCTTCTTTGGCCGCCGCGTCCGCGTCCCTATTTCCAGCAATCCCCACGCTAGTCCTCTCGTATTACGAGTATAAGAGAGGAAAATATTAAAAACAGGAAAATGAAAATATATTCATGAATGTGTTCATTTTAATTTAAAACACCAAATTCTGCTGTATATTATCCTAGGCTGTATATTCATGTGATCTCGGTTGTTTACATTTTCGATACATCTTTAATTTACCATTGTACTACAATGGCAACTAGGATATTATCACTAGAATAATCCAGGACACTTTTGGTATATCAAAAACGGTACGTAAAAGGGCTTTAATAGGTAGGACCGAATAAAGATTCCTTGGACAATTTTTCTTGATATTCTCGTTTAAATCATTAAAATAAAATTTGTCTCGTCTCAAACCGTAGAATAACCAAACTACATGTTTTGAAACATCCTAATTTTTTCAATGATTGTTATTAAACTATTTATTTTATTTTTTTATATTTGTTAATTTTATTTCATTTTAGTTGTTAGTACAATATCAGATAATCTTCTATTTCCTTTTTTTATTGTTATTATTGTATGTGTTTAATATTTTAACATACTAATTGATTATTTAGGTCGAGGGTATGATCGAGGTTAAAAATAGAAGAGAAAAAAGAACATAATAAGAATGTTTAAAAAGGGAAATTAAAAAAAATTAAAATAAATAATACTTATTTTTACAATATTTGAATACGATATCATTATACATATATGCTCAGTGCTATTTATTTATTGGGTTCAGTGCTATTTAGGGAAAGCACTGCTTCTTGGTCTACAGTTGTTCAAGGAGGAGATTTGACAGAGATCGTGTTCAACCGCCAGGTGTTCCCCCTCAATTAATTATTTTAATTATGGGTACCCAAATTGTAGAGGCTGGGTGTGCCCCATTAGGATCTACCTACCCAGGGTCGTCCCACGGCCAATGAAACAAAAAATAATTTTCGATTCGGGAATAAATAATCCATGAGCAGGGATACGAACCTAGGACCTTTTGCATTTGAAGCTCAGTACCCTACCACTGAGCTACCACACTCCCCATAAGAGCAATTACCAATTAAAAATTACCACTAAGCGAAGATTATATTTACGCAGAACCAATAATATATATGCACGTAGGGTAATAATTTCTCTTTTTTAATGAATTCGAAAAGAAATTCTTTAGAATCATAGTTACTGAAGAACCGTATGACAATGTATAAGTGAGATAGCAAAAGTTTTAAAACTTGAATAGGGCTTGAAATTGTGGTATAATATAATCTAAAAAAAAGTAAATGGACAACCTTTAAATTCAAATAAAGATTGCAGGAAATCAAACAGTGCTGGTTGATAAAATGACATGTTATGAGTTCTGAGAACGTTACCTTTTATATCCTATTCCTCTTCCGTGTACTGACTCTCATAAAATACGATAATAAAATGCACCTTCTCATATCTTCCTGTTTATTTTTATAAAAATGATGATAATATATTCTTGAAATTTATATATATACATTTAAATAGGTACCACCAGTAAGGGTGAAATGGGAATTTTTCCCTCCAAACAGCCATTAAGAAAAGAAATATGACTTTAAATATAAGGACTTTAACTAGCGTTCAATATTGCATGTGAATAAAATATCAATAATAAAGTAGGACGGCAATCTATTTATTACAATTTCTTCTTGGAATTTCTTCCAAATACTCCAGTCACCGAGTTAATCTCCTACGTCTAAAAACCAACTTTGGATCCGCCCTTGCTCCTCTTAACTACTGAGATTTTCTCGGTACTTGTATATATGAAATTGTTATTAAAGAGAAGAAGAGAACAGCATGACTTTGGGCTAAAAGACAAGCCAAGGCTATTAATTGCCTTCCTTGTATTTAAAAAGTTTTAGTCCGATCTAGAGACCTCTTTTTACCAATATATTAACACTCATAGAAAATAGATTTAATTTTATCGAAACCCATAACTTTTTTATTAAGTCAACATATTGGAAATGAGGGGCTTTCAATGAGGGGCTCATATTGGCCTAACGGCTCAATATTTCAGTAGGCCTTCTTTTTCCTCGATTACGTCATGAATTTTTTTAAAGATTCATGTGAGTTTTTAGTTTCTCATTGAATTGACAAATTTAAAAAGAGAACGCCCCATTTCTGAGAACTTTTGTAGTTTAAAAGGTTGTAGTATACGACAAAAAGAAGCCATTAAAATTTTAGTAATTTCATAAAAAGAGGTATTTTTCCGTACCGCGGGCATTTTCAAGTATTACTTAATTTACTGTTTTTTTATAAGGCAGTTTTTAAGTCTCAAATTCATTTTTTTTTTTACTTATTCCACCTGTATTACATGTATATATGAATGGTAAAAAAACTTCTATTAACTGCTTTTAATTTTTTCAATTAAAAGTTTAAAAAAAACAAGTACACAACTGTAATAACATTTTTGTAATTCTGCAGAACTTTAAATTTATCCAGAAACATATTAATGATTTTCACTAATTTCAGTGAAGGATCATCATTGATTCAGAAATGGTATTTTCATGACTTTTGATGCGTAATGCAATCAAAAGAAAACAAAAATACTGATATTGGGAGAATCAGGAGTAAAAAAGAAAAAAATATAAATAGAATGCTTAATACATTTATTTTCATTTAAATATTATTTACGTTAAATAAAACTTTTAAGGAACATTCTTTTTTTTTTTTAACTTATAGAAGAATATACAATAGTTACACATAAATAAATTTTCTAAATTTGTCCTCACTCAATGCCTAATATTTTCTTTTCTTTATCAATATATAAAAACAATTAAAATTATCTACACAACTCTGCTGTACTGACACTGAATCTGCTTGTTTGAAAAAACGGAGTATTCTGATATTTTTTATTATTGTTGAAAAATAAATCTGTTAGTTTCTTGCCTGCTGGTTTGAGCGGTACCATTTCGATCTCTTCATAATCGTGGTCTTCCTTTGGTTCTTCGACTTTTCTGAACTGAATTATTTCCTTAACAAACAAAATAATAAAAAATAATTAATACAGCAAAAAGTAATATTAAATATTAGTAAATTATTTTATTTAATGTTAAAATAAATCTTTAACATTTTTTTTATAAATTCAGAAGTTCACCAAAATGGGATTACACTGACAGACATAAAAAATTAAATATTTAAAAAAGTTATTTCTCTGCCTCACAGGAGTGTGAGGTTAGGCTGTCCACTGGAGGCAATTCACACCAACCGGGTTTAAGGATGTGACCCTACCCCGTATAATTTATCCGGGAATCACGATGTGGAATTCGAACATGTTAGCAGCCTCCAAGAGGCCTTCCATGACCGCCTGTTGCAAGGAAAGAAATAGAGCTCCTCGTGCACCTTCTTACTTTGGACAACCTTCTCCTGTAGATTTAGACCGATTGTCACTGACCTTGAATCCGAGCGATTAATGGGAAGGACAAAGCCTGATTCGCCTATGGAATTATAGATTCCATAGACCTGGCATTGCTCCTTGGAGACCGTGGTGACGTGAGGTTAGAGGCCCTCCAACCGCCGATATCCACGCTCACGTAAGCAATTTACGTTTGTAAGAATACTATATATCACGCAGCCAACGATCTAAATAGCTTGTGCAGAGGTGAAAATAAATACATACATATACATATACACATATATGCTAAAACATATTTCTTAGAGTTATAGTAAGAAACAATTATCTGTAGGTATACACATATAATTGTTTCCTACTATCACTCTTACTAAATATATTTTTTTTGAAAAACCTGTGTCATTTTACTGTGATCAAATCAGATATGGGTTGTTTGCCAAACCGTTCGTGTGGAACTTATTAATCCCTATAGGGACTCGGCCTCCATCCCACCTCACTGCTGAATAAATCCAACCACGACGTGACAAACGAATTAGCCTAGATTTTATCGGTCCATCGCACATGAGGGACACATAAAACTACACATAACATTTATAACAACGATGTGTATGTTGCAATTGAGGTGTGGTGGTAAAGTTTGTTTAAAGGGATTTCACACAAAGTGAAGAATAGTACCTAGCAGCACCTCTACCCATTCTCAATTAAGTTCGTTGATTCATGAAGGATGTGTTATTCAGCTCCTTTTTAGTCACCTCCTCAAGGGAATGTCATTCACAGCCGTTTATCATTCCGTTGTTTTGCCTGTGAAGTTGATTATGAAAACGGGAATAAGAGGTACGTAGTTGTTGGTACATTGTAAATTGTTTTAAGTCGATAGTTACAATTTTGCCGTTTAAATTGTTGTTGTTTACGGCTTGGAGGCGTAAAACATGAAAGTCATCAACGCCTATGCAGTTTACGCATCAAGATGCGTCTGTTATTAGTATTTTAATTTTTCATTGTTGTTTTTGCGCGTGCATTTTTTTTTCTTGAGGCTTATGTTCAGATGGGTTCAAGTATATGTTTGTATGTATTTAGTTTCTAATTTTAAGTTTTGGCTAATTGAAAAAAATGAGTATATTCACTTCAGTCATTTGTTTAAAGATTTTTCATAATTTTTACGGATTGGCCCTCGGTCATCTTATTGTCGAGGTTAGTTACTTTGTCATTCGGAGGAATTCGGATTCTGCTAATAAAACTATATATACAAATAATTAAAATGTTTTAATTATTCATATATTATTTATCAATGATGAGTTCCCAGTGAAATGTGTTATACTACTTAACATTAAATATTACTTACATTGTAGTCGTTTTGGCGCGTAATATTTTCATAGCACAAAGTTGGCGGAGGTCCCATGATCAAAGCGAAATCCAATAGGTTGTCTATTTCACCGACGTAATCTGGATTGTGGAGAGAGGCCAAAACTTCGAAACATCCGTCCAAAGCCTGCAAAAAGAAGATAGAAAATCCATTGAACTTTATCATTTTGGCATAATTTTAAACTAGGTTACACTCTAGGTAACGATTTTATCTGATTATCCTTGTTCCATTTTGACGCTAGCGGAGAATAAATGATTTTTCTTAAATTTCAGAAGAAGTTAGTCAGGAGTGCGGTCAAAAATACTATATTATATAATAGTATGTTTATTACATTGTCCAACGTTTCAAGCTACGAAGTAGGTCTTTTTCAGAGCTTTCCATCTGGCACTGCAGAAGGCAGTACGGCGACTGGCCATTATGATTGTTTTAGGTATTTGAGTCACCGCATTTCCTTCTGGAAAGCCAGACGGAAAGCCCTGAAGAAGACCTAAAAATTAGATCGAAACCTTGGACAATACGATAAATATACTATTATATAATGTAGTATTTTTTTGACCGCACACCCTAGGACTATATGTAGGGGATCTCTCATCCAATCCTTTTTACTTTCACTTATATATATATATATATATATATATATATATAATATATATATATATATATATATATATATATATATATATATATATGAAATATATAGGGGGGGGGGAAGTATTGCTATCGCAAAATTTTTGAATCCGAGTTTTCAATGGAAATATATATTTTGAGGTCCTCTGAGTCCAAACAACCAAGTCCCGCAAAATCATCTGTGCGTTCGTCCGCGCGCGCGTGCGTTTGTATATGTATGTATGTGAACACTCTACCTCAAAAACGAAAAGTCGTACGAAACTTATATTATGTATTTTTGATGGATAGATTTATTTGTATTAATACAATCTACCACAATCAAGAGCATTTATTATTATGGCTCTATGCATACATTCATTCTTATATACAAATTAAAATACAAACTAAGAAGAAAATAAAATGAGAATAAAACAGAAGTAATAATATATACATTGAAAGGGATAAAAAAATACTTGCAAAAAGAAAAAAAAATTAAAATAAATAAAAGAACAGAAAAGAGAGAAAAATTACTATTACGTATTTAAGATAGTCTATATGCCTTAAATGTGACATCACCTTTTTCCTTAAAATCGGCTAACTGGAAGTGCCATTTTTTATCAACGGTGAAACACATTTTTAAGATATGAATTATCAGGAATAAGTATAGTTTTAAAATTTTGAGATTTATAAATCAATTGTTACTTTATTCATCCACTACTCACCGAAGACAACGAGTCCTTGTGGTGTTGAGGAAAGCAAGACAACGCCTTGAGGTACCGCAGCCTGTGAAGGGGAAGCAATGCTCGCTCGCCATGGATCTCCGTGCAGTAGCAAATGCTACTGTCATTTCTGAGAGCACTATTGAAAAAAAAAAAAAAAGAAAATATGAATGGTATTAATAATTTGAAATCACTATAACTTCATTTAATTATCATCAGGGCAGTGGATCAGCTGATGCGAAAGGACGTGTTTCTACATCGTCTCTCAGAATTTACTTATTTTGCAGTGAAATCTTTGAGATTATTTATTCAAAACAAGTCAAGAATACATAATAACAATTGATATTTATTTTTTGTTATAAATTATAGGGTTATTTTTATTTTTTTTTATTTATTTATTTTTTTTTTTTTTCATTTTTTTTTTCCCTTATATGCGATTTCACAATCAGGCCATGTCTAGTAGAGCTTCTATCAAGAGAATTCGGCCGTTAGGCTCAACACCTTGTTCTTCGCCTGTCAAACAAAAGCCTCGTCAATGTCGTCAAACACCTGCAGTAACGCCTATTAGCTCCAGAGAAAATGAAACCCAGCCAGGAACATCATCAAAACCAACAATTGAAGAACTTCAGCATCAACCAGGTACATCTTCACAAGAGATAACCGAACAATCTCCGTTTTTCACCCCTAACCCCTATCAGGTGCTTCAGAATGATAAAGAAGTGATGGAATCCGCTTCAATACCAAGAGATCCCCGACCTCCACCCATATTCGTTAAAAACATAAGCAATTTTCAGTTACTATGCTCACAACTGAACAAAATAACAGGCTCTGGAAGCTATTCATGTCTAAGCAGAACAAAGGACACGAAGATATCACCAGATACAGCTGAAACCTACAGAAAAATTGTGAAGTATCTAACGGAAACCAACGCGGATTTTCATACGTACCAATTACGGCAAGATCGAGCTTTGAGGGTAGTCATAAGAAATCTACACCCCTCAACACCAACCGAAGCAATAGAAGAAGAATTGAAAACTTCAGGTTTCATAGTGCGCCAGATTACAAATGTACAGAAGGAGAGTAAAGAACAGCCAGGAGTAAAAGTTCCTCTACCCTTATTTTTCGTAGATTTGGAGCCAAATCAAGGGATCGAAAAAATATACGAAATAAGAAGAATATACTACACAAGTGTTATAGTAGAGAAGCCATATCCTAAGAGGGAAATCGTACAGTGTCACAATTGCCAGGCATATGGCCATACCAGGACTTACTGCCATCATCTGCCGCGCTGTGTGAAATGTGGAGAGCAGCACAAATCCGGGGAGTGCACAAAACCGAAACGGGATCCTGCAGTTTGTGCATTGTGCCTTGAAGGACATCCAGCGAACTACAAAGGCTGTCAGATCTACAAGAATATTAAATCAAGATATCAAAAATCCCGGACCCAAGAAGAAGCAGAGGCATCAAGAAGAGAACCTAACGCATCAAGAAGAGGACCTTCAAAAAAAATTGACCCAACGGTGTCTTTTGCACACTTATTAGGAGGTAAGAATGATGTTACTTATTGTGAGACCCTGCCGCAACAACAACACATACCTCAAAATTCTCAACCCCACCCTCAACATCCTAATCAAACTTCACCTAATCAACAGTTTTATCAACACCAAATTCCCCGCATTCCTCCTCCCTCAAATACCACAGATCTCACCAGTTTACTTACATCTTTCCTCTCCGAATTCAGATCCCTTGTTACTCCTTTGATATCTCTTCTCACCAATCTTGTATCACATTTTATCCCTCCCGCGAAAAATCCTTAAATGACTTCCAATAAACCTTTATCCATTCTCCTTTGGAATGCGAATGGTGTTAGAAATCACACAAACGAACTAACTACATTATTACTTGACAAAAATATTGACGTGGCACTAATTACTGAAACTCGACTAACCACTAAACAGCACTTCAAAATACCACAATACCTGACATATCGTACTGACCACCCTGACGGAAAAGCACATGCCGGTACTGCTGTCATTGTACACCAATCCCTCTCCCATCACCTACTCCCGTTACCTACACATGATTTCCTACAGTCCACCGCTATCGTGATAAAAACCTTTTCCTTTCCGGTTACCCTTGCATCAGCGTATTGCCCTCCTAACCGATCCATATCCAATGCCCAATTCCGTTCTCTCCTCGACTCCTTAGGACATCACTTCATCTTGGGTGCAGACCTAAATGCCAAACATCAACAATGGGGTTCCAGAACCACGAATACTCGTGGCCGAACCCTGCTGTCTGCACTCAATTCCCAACATTTTCATCTCCTTTCCCCCAACTCTCCTACCTACTGGCCTACAGATCCCAACCGTAATCCTGATCTTCTTGATTTCTTTATCCACAGCGGCTTAAGTCCCCTCAATTGTTCCATTACACGTCTAAATGAACTTTCCTCTGACCATAGTCCTCTAATCCTTAATGTTTCACTTGAACCCGTTCCCAAACCTTCTCCACCGTCATTTATTAGGGGCCCAGTTAACTGGGACCTTTTCCGCCAAATCATCTCCGATAAAATTGATCTTAACATATCCCTCAAAACTCCCGATGACCTTGATAGTGCCGTAAATTCCTTTACTACCACAATCCAACAAGCCGCCTGGACTGCTTCCTTCCCAAAAGACTCCTCCAGAATTCCTAAAAAGACCATTCTACCCCAACACCTCCTTGACCTAATCCAAACCAAACGCCGTGCCAGATTATTGTGGCAACGTACCCGACATCCTACCGACCGCTGCTCCTATAATTATTACTGCAAAAAATTAAAACTGGAATTAGCCACCTTCAGATCACATTCCTTCAACTCCTACCTATCCTCCCTTTCTTCTCGCGACAATTCCCTTTGGAAAACCACTACCAAAATCTTAAATCCTCACCGCATTTCCCATCCCCTCCGACGAGATGATGGCTCCTGGGCAGCATCTGACGAAGATAAGGCTGAGGAGTTCGCCATTCACCTATCCAATACATTTATTTCACATCCGGAATCCCATCCTGCCCACACCGTAACAGTAGAAGAATTCCTTACATCACCAATCCCACTTTCCTTGCCCCCAAAAGCTATTCATCCTTCCGAAGTGAAATTTCAATTAAAAAAATTAATCCCCCGTAAAGCTCCTGGACATGATCTCCTTACCCCTCAAATCCTTCGACAACTTCCATCCAAAGCAGTCATATTCCTTACATATATCTACAACTGTATCCTACGCACCACCCACTTTCCTCTGCTATGGAAACACTCCACTATTATCCTTTTCCAAAAACCAGGCAAACCTCCCAATATCTCAACATCCTATAGACCAATTAGCCTACTCCCAATCCTTTCAAAAATTTTTGAAAAGATCCTTTTGAAACGAATCCTACCCATTATAGAATCCCAAAATATTCCTTCCCATCAGTTTGGTTTTCGCTCCCAACATTCCACTGTTCAACAAGGACTCCGAGTTGTTGATCATATTTCCTCAGCCCTAGAAAACAAGGAATACTGTTCGGGTGCATTTCTGGACATTGCACAGGCATTTGACCGGGTATGGCACTCCGGACTGCTCTTCAAGCTTAAAATCCATTTACCTCAGTCCTTGTACCTAGTCCTCCGATCCTACCTCTCTGACCGCTCCTTCCGAGTTCGCTGTGGAACAGAATTTTCCAATATCTACTCCGTTAAAGCCGGTGTTCCCCAAGGCAGCGTCTTGGGTCCCGTGCTTTACATCCTCTTTACTGCTGACATCCCTGTTCATCCCGATACTTTTCTTGCAACATTCGCTGACGACACCGCAATCTTATCATCCAACTCTGATCCCAACATAGCATCCTTAAATCTCCAAAACCACCTCACCTTGATTGAGCACTGGTGTAATAACTGGCGCATTAAAGTTAATGAATCTAAATGCCAACATATCACCTTTACACTCCGACGCAGTTCCTGTCCACCAGTACACTTTAATTCCATCCAGCTTCCTTACTCAGACACAGTCCGGTATCTTGGCTTTCATTTAGACCGAAGACTAACGTGGAACCCACATACTAGACTCAAAAGACAAGAACTCAACCGACGATACGGCCAGCTATACAGACTACTAAACAGAAAATCCAAACTTTCTATTGAAAACAAATTACTTATCTACAAGACAATACTGAAACCTATATGGACATACGGACTTGAACTGTGGGGGACAGCAAAAGCTTCTAACATCAAACGTATTCAATCCTTTCAATCTAAAGTCCTTCGAACAATAGTTGATGCTCCGTTCTATGTAAATAACAAAATCCTACACCATGACCTTAATATCCCATTTGTCCTAGACCTTATTCCAGAAAAATTCTCCAAATTTCACCAAAACCTTACCTATCATCCAAATCCCCTTGCACAATCTCTATCCAGCACCACCCATCCTTACAATCCTCCTCGAAGGTTGAAGCGGCAGTGGCCCAGAGACCTTTTGTAAATAAGCATCTATTGGAGTTTTGGCAATGGCCAGATCCTCCACTCAAGCCCGAGTGTGTATGATTAGGTTAGTTCTTTTGTTTATATACATTTATTTTATTTTATTGTATTTATTTTTATTTTATTTTATTGTATTTATTATTATTAAGTTTCTGTATTATTTATTTATTTATTTATTTTTTATTGTAAATAGAGTGTGAGTGTGCTTTCTCTGATCACTATTATAAATGTCCTTGATGTGACAGAATGTAATATTTCTAAATAAACAAATGAATGAATATATTAAAAAAATTATCATTACGTACTGGAGGGAGCGGAGTAGCTCAGTGAGTGAGCACCGACTTCCAGAGCTCTAGGTCCTAGGTTCGAATCCGGCTAATGACTAGTTATTTTTCATTAGCCGTGGATCGACCCTGGGATCGGGAGACCCTCCTGGGCCACACCCTCTATAAAGTGGGTACTCATAACTATAAAAAATAATTAAGGGAAAAACCTGGCGGTTGAGTGTGATATCGGCCTCATCACCTCCCTGCACAACCGTTGGCCTTGTAACAGTACTTGCTCACATAGTAGTGCACCCAAGACCCTTCATGGGTTGTAGTGGTACAGGTTACGTACTGGAACTATGAATTGTGTGGGACCACAACACATCAACCGCATTCAATCCTTCCAGTATGAATTAATCCCATCCGAGTCAATGCTCCCATCTATGTAACCAACAAAACCCTGCATAGTGACTTGAATATCCCATTTATTCTTGATTTAGTCCCAAACAAATCCCAAATTTTACTAAAACCTTACTTATCATCTGCATCCTTTTTCACAACCACTAGTCATCCCTACAATCCTCCCCGGGGGTTAAAACGGCAGAAACTCCGCGAACTTTAGTAAATATTGGAGTTCCGACAACCAGACTCCGACCAGATTTTGCACTCTAGTCGTGTACTCCGACCAAGACCAAGACCATCTTACTGCTGCTAAGACCAAAACTAAGACTGGTAAAAATAAATCGATTTTAAAGAAAAATTATGGCAAAATAGTTAGTAATACTTGACAATTTCAGTTAATATATTTAAAGAATTGATATAACCAATATACTTTTGCATTAACTCTTCTAATATTTCATTCAGGCTTCGTTAGATTTCTTCTATCTAAAAAATTGCAGTAATATCTCTATCATAATAAGCTAATAGGTAACTTCAAGACTGTTGAGAGAATCTTACGCAAGTCCAAGACTGGAATAAACACTGAGATTATTTGGAACCTCGCTTTTACCTCCCCAAGGGATTAGGAATTATCCTGGCTGATTGTAGATAGTGTTTAATGTTATGTTTATTTTAATTCTTTTTTCAATATGTTATATTGCTATTGCTTTATTTATATTTTCTGTAAATAAGGTGTGAATGTGAACTCTGATCTCTTGAATAATTGTACTTAATTGAGGCAAAATGTAATATTTCTTAATGAACAAGGATAAAAAAAAATTATCCTGTATCGCTTAACGTATAATCGTTGGTCCCATTCCATATAAGGTTTATATAGATGACATCTCAACACATCCTGACATTGTTCTGACCACATAAACCTGTGGTATGCTTTTTAACAGGAAATAACTGAGAGTCCGAATTTTCAATTGTTTATATTTGCAAATAAATCAGGCTTTAAGTTGTCTAAAATAAGTAAACAATTGGTCCAGAAAAATCAATCAGAAATTTAATTGCTTTTTATATTTATTGTTTTTATAATTTATTATTATATAGAGATTTATTGGCCCGCGGGCTAGATTGAGATTTCGTCTATGTTCCACGGATCACATAGAGACTTCTAACCAAGCCCCGCGGTCCATAGCTTGTGTCAAAAAAAAAATTCTATAAATGACACGTGACGCTGTGAAATGAGCTTTCTAAGAGAAAAAAATATACAATAAATGTTGCAGTAATCTCGTGTGTGAGTAATTTGCTAAATTTCATATTTTTAAATATCTGTTATAATGTTATTTTACCATATAATCAAAGAAAACTTTGCGGGCCGGATTTAAGGTGCTTGCGGTCCGTAGTTTGGAGAAACCTGGACTAAACTAATGATAACTGGTTATTCAACTGGTCTGAAGCTTGCAACAAGTGAGCCTTATAATTCTCAATTCCTAAAATAATTCCAATTCTGCATGCCTCATCTGCAGTCCATTCATCGACTTTTTAAGATGAGATCATATGGTTTTTAGATTTTAATTTTGCAAGTTTTATATACCAATGTTTCCTTTTAACTCCAGAAAAATCAATGAAAACTTTGTTTCAAACTTCAAATACCCGTTATTATGTTCGAAGGTTAAACTTCAGGGTGATAATAATAACCTATTCTACACCTGTAATTTAGGCCAACCTTCTAATCAATACTGGAAACCTAGAATTTGCTATTCGGTCGTATCGTTCTTATAAATGGTCCCTCCCTGTTTAAATTTGAATGAAAGGCTTCGATCGGAAAGGTTCCAACGTATGAATATTTTTTATGGTCCACTTAATTTTCGATGTATCTATTCACCTACTTCTGCCGATATAGAGACTGTAATCCAATAAAAAAAAACTAATATGAAAGTATAAATACCGCCGAAACCTCTTAAGTATCATTTAAATTAATTAAAATTTTTTCATTTTTAGAATAAAAGGTGTTGGATCAAATGAAAAGTGTCTTTTTTTTATTTTAATTTATAGATATAACAATTCATGTAATTACCATAGTATGATTTTGGTTACAGCAGGAATTATTATGTAAATACCAAGGATATCTTAGGCGATCAATACTTACGTTTCCCTTCGTAATAATTCTCTCATTTCGAATAGCGCGTCGGTATAAGCGATGCAGAGAAGGTTGTGTTGGACCTGTGTCGAATGTTCCAAAACGTGTGACAACCTAGACATATCCATGTCTTTGTTCATCCGTGAAGTTGAGTATTCGATGTCCTTGCACACTGAAAAAAAACAAAAACAAACGCTATATCGTCAAATAAATGCAAATACTTAGTATATGTTTTTTTTTTCTATTTTATTTTTAAAAATATTAACCTGAACCACAACAATCTATGAAGGGTCTAGGTTTCAGTACTCTTTCAGAAGGTACTGTTTCAAGTCTAGAAATTGTGCAGGAAGGTGATTGAACCGAGATCACGCTATCCACCAGATTTTCCCTTTTAATTAATTATTTCACTAAGAGTAACCACTTTTTTGCTGGATGTGACAGGATAGGTGGATGTGCCTCAGAAAGATCTCCGTAAACCAGTTGATCCATGAACGGTCAAACTTATTATTATTAATATTTTCTATTATTATTATAATTTGTTATTATTATTAAATTAAATAACAACCGCCTACCAAATAAGGTCGGTATAGCTTCCTCACCGGTCTCATTGACTAAAAAATATCTATATTACAAATTTAAAATTTTTCGTATGAGTAAAAAACCTATTAAAGAAGCCGTTTTCGGAAATTCGGTTATCCTTTAACATATATATGGGTTTGGTACCCACAAGTTCTGTTCATCAGCGAATACTAAAATGCGGAACTCTTTATATGGTAGAAGAATTCTTATATATTTTACAGAGAACAATATGTCACCTTAAGCACGAAGAGAATTAAAAATTTTGACATACGACCTTTTGCACTAACAATAGTGATATATACTTAACAGGTATGTTTTCACTCATAAAATGGATAGAACAAAAAATCCATAGAAAACATTCAACTTTTTGTTTGTTCGGAGTTAACGTGACCTTCACTTTTTTTTTTTTCAGTTAGAGCAAAACTAACTAAGCTAGAATATAAAAATATGCGTTAAGTTCATAAAACTTTGATATTTAAGGAGAAAGTCGAGACCAGGACTTGCTGGTTGAACATCAACAGAAATAAAAACAATCACAAATAACATTTTTTTTTTACAAATTCAGATAAAAAATTTATTTAAATCCTAATTCCCAGTCCAAATGATTAATGTCTTCCATACTTCACAGTCATTATTCCGTTAACAATTACTAATATTAATTTTGATTATTAAATGGAATTCAATAAAATTGAGAGTAAGTCAATTCTATATTGTTCCCCAAATTTCCTCCAAGTTCGGGTCCAATCGAAACAGCCGCTTTCAAACTATAGGCGTGTCAAATAATACATTTTCTGACCTGAAAATGGAAGTTTTTTATTGGTAGTAGTAGATAGAATTTGATATAATTGATACTTGCTTAATTATCTGTTAGCCAATCCATATCTCCCCTCCAAATTTGAGCCAAATAGAACGTGTGGTTTTAGATATATAGACGTATCAAGGAAAACACGTTTGCGCATATATAAGAGAAAGTAGAAGATGGAATTCAATGAAATTAATACTACAATATTTTTTAGTAAGATCTACCTTTTGTCCAACTTTGAGCCAAATCGAACGAGCCGTTTCTGAAATAATGGCATATCTAAATTTACGAGTGCACAAGAGGATGTGCTGGATGTCATTTGATGAAATTCATATGGGAACATATAGGCGCCAACCTCTGTAGATTTCTTGAAATTCGGACAAAAGTTAGTAGGTGATGTACAAGTTATTACGAATTGACTACAGATAGACAGACAGGCACCGAACCAAATTTGATCCTTGATGTCCGAAATGTAAAACGCGAGTGAAAGTTTCCGACTATGAGCATACATTTTTTTAACCTCTTGCACAAATACAATGCTCCTCTACCTTCGGTAGTGAGACAGCAAAAAGTAAAATTTCTGAAAAAAACAAAACATTGCTTAGACTAGAACGGTTACAAAATATTCAATTTTATGGAATTTGTTTTACACAATTTAAATTAAATTGTTTTAATCATTATATAGAATCTGTAACACTTATGGTTCTGGTACTGGGGGAAATAATCCAATAGGTTTTGTCTGTTTAAACCTAACGTCTGCAAAAAAAAAAAAAAAGGTAGGCGTATCGATCTAAACAAAGTGGGAATATCAATATTAACTTCTCAGAATATCCACAAAATCAATATTAACTGACACAATGAAAAATTAGAAGAGTTAAATGCAAAAGTATATTGGTTACACCTGTGAGCGGGGTAGCCGAATGGGCTAACGCGTTGTGCACAGCACCACCGTTGCCCGGCAACCTGATATATGATAATTGTGTTATAAAAACAGTCACGAGTTCGCGTCCCGGTGCCAAGGCGTCTTTTAAATCCCCGCCCACACCCCCTGGCCAGGGAAAACCCCCATATAGCCTTAACGGCGAGGAAGGGAAGGACACAAAAAAAAAAAAAAATTATTGGTTACACCAATTCTTTACATATAGTAACTAAAATTGTCAAATATTTGTAACTATTTTGCTTCAATTTTTATTCAAAAAATTCAAAGGAAAGTTTTTACCAGTCTTGGTCTTGGTCTTGCAACAGATAGACGGTGTTGGTCTTGTTCTTGCAAAGTGCATTTTGGGCAAACACTATATCTAAGCCCAATTTCTTGATTCTTTCTCAATTTAACATGCATTTTTTTTAGAACGTGAGTGAATAAAAGTTAACATTTTACAATCGACCTGGGCAAACACTATATCTAAGCCCAATTTCTTGATTCTTTCTCAATTTAACATGCATTTTTCTTAGAACGTGAGCGAATAAAAGTTAACATTTTACAATCAACCTACTATATAACAAAAAAGTTTCATAGAAACTATTAAAATAAAACTGCTTAAAATGTTTCTTAAAAGTAATAAACGCTGTTTTCTTTTTCTTTTATGAAATGCTGTGATGTAATGTTAAGTACAAGTAACTGTCAAATATTTTGAAGATTAGGATACCATTCATAAACTTTCAGCATGTTATGAAATAAAAGTATAAATGACAGATGGACTCTTATTTTTTAAACTTAAGAAAAGGTCCTAATGAATATTTTTGAAAAATTGTCCGTTAAATGAATGAAATGAAAAGAAAAATAACAAGAATAAAATATAGAGTAAATTGTTTAGATGAATAATCTAAAAGGATCCCGCTGAATGGAAATCCCATTTAGATCGAAATAAGGATAAGAGCTTTTGCGCCCCAAGTAAAGCAAGGCTAAAAGGGACTAGGATTTACCGAAATCTGAGGGGTGGGGAGGGGAAGAGGAGGAGGAGATCGAGGAGGGTAAAGTATATTATAATCCTCTGCTCTTGACTATTTTTCATCTCTTGTTTACTGCAGGTTAGTCAATACTTCACCCATTATTGATGAAGGGCTAAATATACATTTTTTAGGGAAAATTAAATATTAAATTTCTATTCATCTATTATGTTTTCAAAATTATCAAGGTTTCTGCAAGAGGCGGTGTTAATAATAAATCGACGACCGAATTTATGAATCGATTAATTTTTTAGTTTATTTCCACTACGATAGTATCTGTACTTGTTGGAATATTGGATAACTTACATTAAGATTAACAGAACACACGAATAATATACAATGAATAAAAAAAAAAATTAGGAAACTTGAAGGTTCGATGCCGATGCCACTAATCCTCATTTATGCGTCTCCTACCATTAGGCGTGAACCGATTTAGACCAATCTAGGTTTTTAGAAATCTTTCGTTACCAAGTCCCTCGACATTACTTCGTATCAAAATTCTTTGAAAGTAAATTACATGTTGAACAATAGGTGGTGGTACACAGATTTTAGAATAGACTAATCGCATTCGTTGGACTAAATGCCAAGAACATTTTAGTTTTATATTTTGGGAGTAAAATTAACCATAATCGAATTATACAATATGGAAATATATTGGAAAATATGGAGTTTAGGTTAGATTTTTGATAACTTGAAAATGAGCCAGTCCGCTCATAACCAATGTTGTCCAAATGCGAGACCAAGTCGATTCTTAATATTGATCTAATAATGTATATAGGTATGTGTTTATCTAGGATGTTTGTTTTACTTTTATTTCTATTTTTACTTATTTATATGTATATATATATATATATATATATATATATATATATATATATATATATATATATATATATATATATATATTATTTATTTTCTTTGTTCTTTTTTCTTATTCTTTTGTTATTACTTTATTTATTTATATTTTTGTATATACGGTATGAATGTACTCTCTGAACTCTATTATAAGTGTCCTTAACTGTGACAAATTGTAATATTTCTCAATAAAGTGTTTTTAAATTACTATCTAAATTAGTGTCATTTTTCAGATAATCTAGATAAAATAGAAACTAAGCCTTAAAAAAATGAGTTAATATATTGGTATGAAAAATATATTGGGTATACCAATTCTTTATATATAGTAACTAAAATTGTCAAGTATTAGTGACTATTTTGCCTTATTTTTTTATTCAAAAATACAACTTTTTTTTACCAATCTTTGTCTTGGTCTTGCAACAGTTAGGCGGCCTTGGTCTTGAGTTGCATGACCAAGACCGATTTTAGGCAAAACTACTCGTAACGTTGCACAGTGTTTGAATGATGGAAAAAAACTATTATAGTAAACTATTTTTTAAAGGAAGGAGATGGTCCGGGGTTGCGGTCATAAGTTGGCTAAATAGTGGTAAAACTATTTACTTAAAAGCCAACGTTTCGACCCGACTTTGCTGGTCTTCTTCAAGAAGGTGTGTTCATATAGGAGTTTTACTTAGAACTCAAGGTGTGTTCAGTTCTAAGTGAAACTCCTAGCTGAACACACCTCCCTGAAGAAGACCTGCAAAGTCGTGTCGAAATGTTGGCTTTTAATAAAGTAGTTTTACCACTATTTACTTTATTTATAACCGCCACCCCGGACCATCTCCTTCCTTCATAATGCAACGGTCATCTATTAAATATTCAATATAAATATTTTTTGAAAATATTAGAAATATAATTTTCTTTTCGTCAATTAGATTAGTTACCTAAGATATTTCACTAATTAAATCGGTCAAACATTGATTTTTAACGTTGTAAGAGCCTTCCAATAT